GTAACATTAAGTATTGATAAATATTACTTAAATAATTTTTCAAACAAAGTATAGCCAACTAAAACAATCTGTCACAGGCAGTGTGCAAAATATAATAGACACCTTTCCAAAAATGCTGTTTATGTGAGTTATAATGATAATGAATTATTATTACAAAATACATGAAAGAAAATCTGTCCAGGCAAATGGCAGGACTCAAACTCAACGTGCGTTTATTTACAGAACCCCGATTCTGTATATACAGTAGTGAGAGGAAGGGGGCACCGGGGGATCCAGAGAAAGGGAACCAAACTCTTCTGTTCACAGAGCCGGTCACTCGCACGTCCCAGATCAAACTCCACGCTGACGCTCCTCACAAACACACTCATCACCCAACAAGGGTCCAAGGTGAACAGCAGGAATCCGACTCAGCCGCCACCTTAAGTGGTGACCGATCAGATGAAGATGATGCAGCAGGTGAGTTGATTGTCAGCAGGTACATAGGAACACGAGAGAAGTACTGTCCAGGCAGGGAGGAGTGCAGAGAAAAGACACACACACAATAACAAGCAGTGACAGGACGCCAGAGAGGACTGCAGGACCAAGACAATTTCCCAAAGAACCTCCTGCAATTAGACACATTTTTGGCAAAAGATTTGACTTCTTAAGAAATCAGTGGTGCTGGTTCAGTGTCAGGAGTGGGACAGCTGCCTAAGCCAGAGATTAGATCAGTACAGCATGGAAGCACGTTGGCACATAAGTGATTTAATACATGTATTACATTTCACATTTGTAATTGGTGCAGGCAGGTGCATGTTGGCTAAAATAACAGAAACACATTATTTTCTGTTAGAACTGAAGTAAACTAACTAATATTAAGAAAGTCAAGCAGTTTCTCTCATGTGGACTTTGGTATCAGTTTAATTTCCATCTGTCTGTCTTTTTTGAAACATCAGCATCACCTTGGAGCACCTGAAAGAAACCAAGCCAGTCTTTGTTGGCAAAAACAAAACAACACTAATGCCATAAAACAAACACGCTTATAAGGACCTTGTGAAGCAAACGTTGGTGGTGACATGTTAATACTTTCTGTAAAATAAATAAATAAAGACTATTTGACTGCTCTACTATTTTTCTAGAGCCCCTGTCAGTCATGGGACCTTAGATTCATCACTTTTCTCCCCCTTAGGGCGCCTCTGAGCAGGGGTGGGCACATGAGAAACTGGAGGGCCACACCAGTAAGCTGAACTCTTATCTCTGTAGATCCTACAATTAACAGTACAGATGTTGCAATCAGGCAATGAAAATGTGAAATAGGCACAGTGAAAACACTAACATGAGAAACCACGACTAAGGAAAAGCAACAAGCAGAGATGTGTTCGGGTCAAGAAACACGAGGAGACATTAGACCATCTGTGCTTTGGTCTGATGATGTCACGGTTCTGGGTCATTGTGACCCAGCATTTTGAGTTCTTGTGTTTTGGTAATATTTTATATTATGGTTTTTGTTGTGAGTCCCTGGTTGTGCCCTTGTGTTTATTGTCTTGTTCCCCAGTCAGTCATGTCTCATGTAACTCTGGTTCCTGGACTCTGTGTTCCCTCTGTTCTCTGTCAGTGTTGCATCTCTGAGTTCTGTCAGTTTATTTCCTGTTTTACATTGAAGGTCTTGTCTCATGTTAGTGTGTTCTGTTTTACTTCCTTGTCTTGCCCAGTTACTCCCAGCTGTGCTCTCCCTCTGTGTATTTAAGCCTCGTCTCCGCCTCTGTTAGTTGCTGGTTCGTCTGCGTGTCTTCCTGCCGTGTGTCTCTCCAGGTTCCACGTCTCAGGTTTTTGTTCCTTGCATTATTATTTTGTAGCTGTTCCCAGTTTAGGTTTTTGTTAGCGTAGTTCCCTGCGATGCTCTGCTTTGATTTGTATTTTGCCTTTCGTTATTAATAAACTTTCTCACAGCTACGTTGCCATCCGTGCTTGGGTTTAGGTCCACATCCTTCATCTCCCGAGATGAGTCCAAATTTGAGATCTTTGGTTCCACTGTGTCTTTGTGCCATGCAGAAAAGGTGATAGGATGGTCTCTACATGCATGGTTCCCACCGTGAAGAGTGGAGGTGATGTGAGGAGGCTTTGCTGGTGACACTGTTGAAGATTTATTGAAAACTGAAAGCACACTGAACCAGAATGGCTACCACAGCATCCTGCAGCAACATGCATCCCATCTGGTTTGCATTTGGTTGGACCATCATTGATTTTTCAACAGGACAATGACCCCAAACACACCTCCAGGCTGTGCACGGGCTGTGACCAAGGAGAGCGATGGAGTGCTTTGCCAGATGGTCTGGCCTCCACAGTCACCTGACATAAACCCAGTGGAGATGGTTTGGGATGGACCGCAGAGTGAAGGCAAAAGGACCAACAAGTGCTCAGCATCTCTGGGAACTCCATCAAGATCATTGGAAAACCATTTCAGGTGACGACCTCATGAAGCTCAAGGAGAGAATGAAAGAGTGTGCAAAGCAAAGGGGGGGGGGGCTGTTACGAAGAGTCTTAAATATGAAACATGTTTTGAGTCATTTCACACTTTTATGTTTACTGCATAGTTCCACGTGTTCATTCATAGTTTTGATGCCTTCAGTGAGAATCTACAACGTAAGTAGTCGTGAAAATAAATAAATGAACTATTAAATGAGAAGGTGTGTCCAAACTTTTGACTGGTGGTGTATATGTGTGGCGTGTGTGTAACAATTCCCCATTCGCCCTGTGGGTGGTCTCTATTCTTCAAGCTCGGGTCCTCTACCAGAAGCCTGGGAGCTGGAAGGTCCTGCACAGTATCTTTGCTGGTTCTAGGCTCATTTAAACAGATCTCGGGTGTTGTTCCTGGGATGTGCTGGAGCCCCTCGCCCAGCTTGGGGGTCACTACACCAACTGCTCCAAATACCACTGTAGCCTTCACCCTCCACACACCAAATTAGTCAACACAGAACCATATAAGCCCATCTTTCTTCACCACAAGAACTGTGGGGCTACTCCTGGCACTGTGTTGCTTTTCTTACTCCCATTTTTAACATATCAGCCAATTCCTTCTGAACTATTTGTCTCTTATGTTCAGGCAATCCACAGGACTGTGAACACCCTGTCACTACAGCGTATATTTCAAAATGGTACTCCTGTGAGATTTATATGGCTGGAAAACCACATATGCAAAGTGCTGTTGCAATGCAGCAGTTGCGATGTCCTCTCTGGACCTGTGTGAGATGATCATCACAATGGAGGGAGGCGGGAGTGGTGGGATTTGGCTCTGCAGTAGATCAAAAACGAAAGAAAACCATCAATCAACATATGAACATTACCTGATGTTGCTGAAGTGAAGCAGAGCAAAGTTACAGAGGTTTGATTACAGACACAGCTGAGAGTTTTGCAATTTTGCATAATTTTAAAAAGTTTAAATTTGTTCAGAAGCCTATTGAACAGCAGAAATTAGGTTTTATTTTCGGAAGTAAGTAAAAGTAAAAAAAACAGCGGCCCACAGCACTGCAAACAACGGTAGACTTGTGCGTAACAAGCAAGTGAATAATG